TTTTTGGCTGTCCTGAGCGTGGTTTGTCATTGACATCAAAATCATTACTTTTGAATCGTCTATACCACTCTTTACATGTTGTATGTGATGGAGCTCGATCACCATAACCTTCTTCAAGTAATCGATGAACTTCTGCTACACTTTTTTTCAAATCAAAATAGTGCAAAAGCACATGTCGAAAAAACACTTTATCGAGTTCCATTTTTCACAAAGCAAAAGAAATTGTTGTTTAGGAAAATAATTGTGTATGCTGACTGAATGTTATCGAGAAATGTCGAAATGAATCACAAACTACCTGTTTCGTTAGTAATGACTACTAGAACTGTTTGCATTGCCATCTAACATTTGCGGGCGGAAACTAAGTTAAGGTCCTAATATAAAGCGTTTCTTTGCTATCTCAAAATTATATGTTTAATTTATCTGCGTATTTACTTTATATGAATAATTTGTAAGATTATATTTTTATTTTAAGATATGTATTAAATGGGTATTACGAATCTATTGTTTTTAATGTGTTAATTATTAAGATTACTCTTTCTTTTTGGATTTTTATATTTTTATATATTTTTTGGTGATTGGTTTTATAAAGTTTTGTATATATTTTTGTTATTTTTTTAATTTTTTTTCGGCGGGGACGTTACACCATTACCGTCAACTCGAGAGATGACGGGGACGTCACAAATGCGCTCGTGGCGCAATTTTTAAATGAGTTCGGAGTGGTTTGGATTAAAAAATGTGATTTTTCGGGGATGCTAGTTGTTGGACTCCTTAAAAATGGTAAGTGTGGGGTAAGTTTGGAACCAGTAATAGTTAAAGAATAGGGTTAGGAAGATTTCTTTGGCTGGGGCTGAAGAAAAATCGCATGTTTTAGAGAGGTGGTGATTGGCGGAACTTTGAGGTAGTAAGGGAATCTTTGTGTCAAGGATGATGCAAATCGGGAAATGAGTACAATGTATGAGACAACGAATATTTTTAAGGTTTGGCGGCTTCCATTGTTCTTGTTAGTTTTTCTGCGTGTGACTCTAATTTTAATATAATAGCTTCTGGTCCCCGAAAGTATTAGGACCTTAACTTAGTTTCCGCCCAAAAAATACTGAGAAAAAGCATTTATTGTAATAAATTTATTTAAATTATTTCAATGAAAGTATTTTCCATCACTTTCTACAACTTTTTGCCATCTTTCTGGCAACTGGGCGATACCATCTCGATAAAACGATGTTTGTTTCGAAGCAATCCATTCGTCCACCCATTCTCGCACTTCTTCAACATTTCGGAAGCGTGTACCACTCAAGCCGTGCTGCATCGATCTGAACAAGTGGTAATCAGAAGGCGCTATGTCTGGTGAGTACGCTGGGTGAGGAAGAGTTTCCCATTCGAGCTGCGTCAGTGTTTCTTTGACGGTTTTTCCAGTGTGTGGCCGAGCGTTATCGTGTAAGGGAATAACTTTGCGCCTGTTACTCGCTATTGCTGGTCTTTTTCGCAACAGCTCATCATTCAATTTGTTCAATTGACATTTGTAGACATCGGCAGTAACAGTTTCGTTTGGTTTCAGCAGTTCGTAGTACAGCACTCCTTGCTGATCCCACCAAATGCAAAGCATTACCTTATGACCGTGGATGTTCCGTTTTGGCTGCGATGTTGATGGTTGTCCTGGGTCTACCCATGATTTTTTGCGTTTGGGATTGTCGTAGTAGATCCACTTTTCATCGCCAGTCACAATACGCCACAGAAAACTCTTCTTTTTTTGCCTGGCAAGTAACGAAACCGTGATATTGAAACGGTTGTGAATGGCACTTTCAGACAATTCATGTGGTACCCATCTTCCTTCCTTTTGGATCTTTCCCATGGCGTGTAAACGTTTGGAAACAGCTGCTTCAGTAACTCCTAGCTCGTTTCCAAGTTCTTGTAACGTTCGAGCCGAGTTTTCATGCAATAATGCTAGCAATTCATCGTCTTGGAATTTTTTTGGCTGTCCTGAGCGTGGTTTGTCATTGACATCAAAATCATTACTTTTGAATCGTCTATACCACTCTTTACATGTTGTATGTGATGGAGCTCGATCACCATAACCTTCTTCAAGTAATCGATGAACTTCTGCTACACTTTTTTTCAAATCAAAATAGTGCAAAAGCACATGTCGAAAAAACACTTTATCGCGTTCCATTTTTCACAAAGCAAAAGAAATTGTTGTTTAGGAAAATAATTGTGTATGCTGACTGAATGTTATCGAGAAATGTCGAAATTAATCACAAACTACCTGTTTCGTTAGTAATGACTACTAGAACTGTTTGCATTGCCATCTAACATTTGCGGGCGGAAACTAAGTTAAGGTCCTAATACATACGATGAACGTTATAGATCTGATTTTATGACCGGATATTCTGTAAGTCCTATGAATTCTTTGATCGCGGAAACCTGATTGCCATATTATGCGTTCGCTCTGACTCATTATAGTTATAGTTTATATGGAACAAGGAATAATTATTATGAGGTCCAACAGAACGTAACAATTTATTACTTTAAATTCACGAGGGATTGCTGTTCTTCCTTTAAGTATATATTCTTCCTTTAGATATATATATTAACAAATTTTGACATAATTGCACTTCTGCTTTTCGAGATAACCTAAAAATATATTTGATAATATATCTTATTATCATAAAAATATCATATGTGTATGCTTAAGTGTGTTATAAGTATTATAAACAAATCGAGTTTTTATATCGTTTGACGTCATTTTGACTTTTATATGACTTTGTATTCTATCTGGGTAAGAGCTAAGCACAGGGTTTTGATTGTGCGTTAATAACAATTTTTTTATGTAGAAAATATCATATACGTAAATTTAAAAAAAGATGAATAAAATAAAACGTTTCGGTCTTGTTGTGTTCCTCAGTCGTAAATTATAAGCAAGTGTAGCTACATATTATTATAGGTATATGAATTCATAAATAATAAAAGCGTATAATAGGTATATGAATTCAGAAATAATAAAAGCGAAAAATAAAGTAATATGATATAATAATTAATATAAAGTAATATAATAATTTTTATTATTACCCATATAACTTTTAAAATTATTTTTATGGAATATTAAATGGATTTTTAATATCTCGTAACATTTTACGCATGATACAGTTCATTGTTCTTTCTTTCGTTTTCCTTGTGATGAATAACCCACCACGCAACAGCCATCCTGAACCGACTAATTTTCACGTGAAAGATCAACTCGCGTGAAATTTTTCATTTTTCCGTTTCACATGAAAATTTTGACTTTTTCACGAATTCACATTAGGAAAAAAGATACATGGTAAATGGTATAGATTTCCTGATAAATGGTATATAGCATCAGTACTACTAAATGTACCTAGGAAGAGTATAACTTTTGTATGAAGTACATGACCCATCAAGTTGAAAATTGTATATAGCATATGAAAATATGAATAAATAAATATATCTGCAATTTATAAATTTCTAATGTTTTAACACAGACTACTAAAACACACTTCTTTACGACGTATACTTTAATTGTAAAATTAAAAGAATGTAAAGTTTGTGCAATCGAAGTGATGTATCACCTGTTTAACGTTTACAGTATTTGATTACTAATGATACAAAAGTTCATCGATATTTGCAAAGTTAACATTAAGAATTTGTTCTTAAATATGTACACATAGAAAGAGTTCATTTGTATGCTTCTCAAATTCAAAATAATTACAATAATTAGTCACACAATCTTTGTATTTAATATATATTTACATCTGTCGCTTACATCTGTTTATTTTTATGGGTTTCAGTCGTAGTATATATATGATAATAATAAAAATTAAATAATACCTTTAAAGTATGGAATATAATAGATAGAATTATGACAAGACAAAAGAATAAAAACGCGTATACATCAATCAGTGTCCGTTGTACCCAGCTCTGAAATTTAATCGGTGATGACAAAGTTTCTTTTGGTTGACGAGCGGCGTATTCGATGCTCCAAGTCGCTAAGTCCAACGGCGGCATTGGTCGATCCCGAAATTCACGAGATAATTGTTTCATATTTTTTGCATAACTGAAAAAAAATATTTTATTATTAATATTATTTTAAAAACTTGCGTGATTTTATAAAAAATATTGATCAAGTTATTAGACAAATGCATTATCAAACAAGCCAATAAAAGCTTACGCAATAATTTGAATAAGAAACATATTGTAACCGTTACTTTCGTGCCATTCTAGTGATGTAATTTCATATGATATATTCCGTATTTTTTATAAGACTGTATCTGTATAATATCAATGTACTTCTTTTTTAATTTTTATTAAAAAGAATTAGAGTAACAATTGGTCGATTTTTCGAGACATTTAACGTTTTTTGTTTTATTTATGAATATAGTGCATTTCACAATCGACATCTTGCATAAGCTCTTATTTGGTGTTTATGATAATTCGAGCTCGAGTTAGTACGAGTTAGTTTCACTAGGGCCGAAAAATATAATAGGCACAAGCATCTAGTGTGTTTATGATTCATGACAACTCAATGCTGTCCGATGAATCGAATAGAGTAGAGTTTGGGGTAGCGTAGCGGATAGTATAAGTACAAGAATTAACTGTATCAGGTAATATAGTTTCGTAAAATATAACAATAATGTTACGAAACAATAAGTAATTACATTTTAGAAAAATTAGAAGCATTAAATTAAATAATGAAAACGTATCGTATATTTGTGAAATAACTAAAAGTAGAAAACTATTATTCTAATATATAATTAACCTGTTATTATTGGATATTTCACAAATATATAATAATTTAATTTAGTGCTAATTTTTCATAATTTAATTTAGTGCTTCTAATTTTTCCAAAATGTAATAACTCATTGTTTTGTAACATTATTGATACATATTTTACGAAACTATATTACATGATACTGTTAATTCTTACACATATGCTATTCACTACACTACTCTAACTTTAATCTGCTTTCCCCTATTCGATTTATCGGACAGCATTGAGTTGTCATGAATCATGAAGATACTAAATAGTTATGTCTATCATATATAATATTTCGGCCTCAGTGAAAGTAACTCGTACTAACTCAAACTCGAATTATCGTAAACACCCCAGGCAGCAAGCCGTCGTAATTTTCACGTCAATATGTCGTCATTATTGGTGAGTAACGTCATTTGTCCTTTAAGGACGTGTATTTAACGTCATGTTTTAGACGTCAAAATAACTTTGCAAAATGACGTTATGATAACGTTTAATTTACGATATTGTAGACGAATTTCTTTTTCGAATAAAAATATAAGTTCGCTATTCTTATAGATATATTTTCATATAATAATCAATTTAAACAATAATGGGGGATATGATCAATGATAAATCTTATCATGCTATCCTAGCAGCAAATATTAGTTGTCCAATGATTATAATCATAGCTATAGCTGTTTCATTAAATCAATATGTAATGTTAATCTCTACGATTTTGATGTGACAAAAAATAAATTTTTTGTTTGCTGCAAAAAAGAGGTTTTCTTTTTTGGGTGTTTTCGGAGAAACATTTGTGGTATTGGTCTGAAACAATGATGTAAACTTCGCAGGCCATACTCTGAGGCTGCGTTCCGAAATTCACTGCCAGTACTGAAATTTTATAGTATACGTAACATAAACTGTAAATTTTATAGTATACGTAAATTTTATAGTATACGTAACATAGACTTTCAGTATTGGCAGTGAATTTCGGAACGCAGCCTGAGCAACGAATGAAGGGTAGCGCACCATTGAAAATCGACCGTATCCGTGAACGCTCGTAGCGCAGAAGTTGTATTTCCCGCTTTGATCTATATAACGATGGATGTGGTCCGTTAAGCGTTGCTGATGCGCCACAGCGACGACTAAACCATATTACTACATTTCACGCTTCAAAGCATTTGCAATGTTGAAAGGACTCTAGCTCTAATATAACATCTCTGCGTCTCAGCGGCGTGCGAACACGTGCGAGCATTATACAGATATATAGTAACGATTATTAGTTTTACTGCTTCATTCGTGCACTGTGAAAGTTATATACTGCATAATTTACAGTTACTACTGCATAATTTACAGTTACTACTGATTATAAGAGCTTTAGTGAGTCATATTAGTTGCTTTCCATTTACATCAAAACTCAGATAAATCTCACTTCTATCTTTGTTACTCACAGAATATGAAACAAAGATAGAAGTGAGATTTATCTGAGTTTTGATGTAAATGGAAAGCAACTATTATATTCATAGATTTGTACCATCAGAATATAACCTATATGTTATACTGGGATCTTTCATTTTACATGTAATATAATTTATAACATTATTATATGATAGAATCATATTTTGTTATTAATATTAATTGCATTAGATATAAAATCGGATATGTATACATTGATCCAGCTTGATGACATGTGTGAAGGAAGCTT